CTTCTTGTTTCAGTATTCTGTGGCTCCAACCTGTAAGCACGTGTTATTAATAATTTAATAAAATTATTTTAAATAAAATAAATTTTTGCTATATTTCAATTGCTTATAGAACCTAATTTGATACCTTCCTTTCAGATCACTAGAAAATTATAAAGAAACAGAATGGTCCTCTATGTCACAGTTTGAAGAGCATTTCAATGAAATTGAAAGTTCGTTAGATAATACATTTGGTAATGATTCTAATGATGGTATGTTCTTAACTTTGGAAGTAAACTTTTTTGTTTGCTTGTTTATGTATTTATAACCATATAGGTTTTTCTGGCCATATATCAAATATAAACTAATATTTTAAAATTGTGAATGTCATCTGTTGTTTGATGATAAACATCTGATTAAATAATAGCCCTCAAATCATCTGTTATTTGATCTGAAATTTACTGGCACATTAGTCACTATTTTTTGTTAGATTCGTGGAAAGTAATCATTTGAATAGTATAAATGTTAAATTATCAGAGTTTGTGGGTTTCAAATGAGGAATATGTTTATGTAATTCTTTTTCCACAGCTAACTACTCCTGAAGAAAGACAGATATTTGTTTCATAGTTTCATCCTTTAAATTAACAGCTTCAAAGTTGTGACAAATAACTACAGTCAAAAGTCGTTAATTCGACACCCATAATCCGGAATGATCTATAATCCGGACCTCAAAGCACAAACTTTCGCATGCATCGCGTTCACGCTGCGCAGCGCGTAAGACCCTTACGGCTGCGAATGTTTGTGCGCATGCGCGCTTAAATTTTAACGGAGTATACGCTAAGCTAAAGTTATCTAATTAGTTAATGTTGCCGATTGCGTGTTCCTTAATCTTCGAATTGGATCCGCTTATTATTTTTTGCAGACTGTTAGAGCAATTTTATAAAAGTAAGCTTGAACTTCGATTATGTCAAATACAATTTCCGATAATTTACTACAAGCGAAAGTATTTGAAATCCGAATCTGTTTATCAATTTCATGCTGCTCTGCGGCAGAGGAGGAGCAGAAACGTCATTATTAGATTATGATAGATTAGAAAGATTGTCAAATAGAATTTCCGATATATATTTACTAATATGTATTTTATCTACAAAGCGAAGATGTTTTGAATCCGAAATGTTTTATCATTTCACGGGCGGATTGGAAGTGATCTGTCAGCCTATCCTATATTCAGGCAAGGTTTTATGTTATTTGGTTTAAATTCCATACTGGTAGTATTTCATTAGGCGGGGATATGAGTAAAATCCCGTCTTAGAAGGCGCTTCGATAGTGAAGAAAGTGACCAGAGGTTATGAAAAAGAAACATTTCGATGACGAATTGTCTATTCTCAACCAGCAATTATAGACTTGAACCGGAACTTTTCCTAAACCAAGAAATTATTTGTTTAATAGAATTTAAGAAAGTATTATCACATGAAACGAAGCAACTTACATTGAAGGAAATTTTTAATAAAGTAACACTAATAGTAACTTTTTTTCTTTTTGTAATTGATCCCTGTAGCTCGATAATTTTCTTTAGTCATATTCGTTTTCATTTTTGAAGTTTGTAATTTTCTCATGCCCTCCCGATTTAAACTGATGCTATCTCCAAAAATGATCATCCGAATGCCGCGTCCCGACGTCGTTCACTTTTGACTGTAGTTTTACTGTCTCTTTTTAATTGATTTTATTTTAACACTTTAGCTTTGGAAGCTTGTATTTATAGTACATATAAAATTTGTTAGTTATATGGTAGTACATTCTACGGGACATATATTGTAGTAAGGATTTTTAGTAGTACGCTTTCATTTTCATCCTGCTACAATACTTCTCACACAGATTGTAAATTTGATATCCACAAAGATCCTTCTGGTTGATGTTTTGGCTTTTCCCTTTTGCTTTCCCAGCCGCAGTCCCATAAATTACTCTTCTCAACTAATTCTGTTTTTTATGTTTTTTTACTGTTGCGCATTATAATGTTGGTACGATTCGTTTTTGAGGGCCGAAAAAATCACCACTATTGTGATGCCGTGCTGCCAAAATAATTGCGGCATCCTAATCTGAAATTTAATAGTAAAATAATTCAAATTGATTGTTTTCATTTGAATAAGTTTAATTTTATAATACATTTTATTATTATATACTTTATATAAAAAGGTAAACCTGGTGAATAGAACATACATTAAATAGCTATTTCAATCATATTTATTTAATATAACAGTGCTAAACCTAACTGAATAGTCCATGCATCGCTATGTCGCTACCGGAACGCTTAAAGTATGATTTCATCTCGGTGTTGTTCAACAATTTTCTTATGAGAATGCTTTTTTTCTTTGAAAAAATCTTGTAAAGTGCAGAAAGAGCCCACTTGTTTGCCGCTTTTTCAAGTAATCAATTTATGTTTGTCTTTCTGTTACTTTTTAGTGAATAGTTCAGTCCTGTAAGCAGAAACAGTGCCTCAATTCTTTTTTTTATCTATATATTATTTAAGTAAAACAGGTTGATGTGTCATCGATACCGAATGTGCAATCTTAAAAAATGCTCAAGCATGGATGATTCTGCGCTTACCCCACATTCTATTGCCTTTTCATCAGGGGCAATTCCCAAATTGTTAAATTCATAGGATATCAAAAAAATATTTAAAATTTAAACTAGTTTTTCAATGGCGTCTTAAATATAGAACTATATAAACTATGAAATCAGCGCGGACGCTAGATTTGGCGCTGTCGCACACATTTTCGCTGCAATTTTTTTTTGCGGTCCTCAAAGCGGAATAGTACCATCATTTTTTATGGCAAAAGAAAAAAAGAATTGCCTTGTTGCTTTCTTATATCCAAAGAATTATCTAGATAAGAAGCTGTGAAAAAATCTTTCTGTGACAATAATAGTGCTGTTTGTGATAGAGTTAAGCTTATGTGAACTTAAGGAGAAGGTTTTGCATTCTGTAAAAGGACGGTAGACAATAAGCTATGATGATTTGCATATCGATAGCTAAGCATCTGTTGACTATTTTTGTAACAAACTTTCATAGCTGATAGAATTATTTAAAGATTTCGAGAACACTCTCAAATTTTGGTTCAAGCATAGATATGAACAAAAAGAGTACCCTCACAAAATCATAAAGGATATCTATAACTTCATGCTTTTAATTAGACTAATTTTTCATATCAGTTTAACAATAATAAAAATATAATTTTATAGGCTGATTATGCATATAATATTTAACTTGAAAGAAACTAGACATTTATTCTTTTTATGGAATATGTTAAGTATTTTGAAACATGTTTTCATTTGGATTGAGTTATAATTATTTATGATATGAATATAATAAATACATGGACTTTATCACAGCATGGTTTTTATGTATGGTACATAATTAGATATCAAATAAAATTTTAATTAAGTCTGAATTTATAATTGGGTAGAAGCAGTCATTAAAATTTGGAACATAATGGCATGATAAAAGGCATAACTATGATACATTTTTCATTAACTTGAAATTTCCAGTAGGGAAGAGCAATCTGATTACAGCTAAGTTACTATTTTTGCTCCATCATGAAGTGATTATGTGAACCCTCACTTAGATGACTACCCACAGTTCCAGAAAATTTATGTCTTCTGTTAAGGTAATCATCTTGGAGAAAACAAGTATTGGTGATTGATGTTACCAATCTGCGTAATGATTTAATGTATTCTAAGTTTTTCGAGTGTATTGAAGAAAAATATGAAATATAAAAGCAGTATATCTGAATTGCAATATTTATTTTTAGCTTTTTATATTCTTAATGACCTTTTCCTGTAATTTACATTGAATTATGTTTGTCTTGGAGTTAGTGGTAATTGATCATCCGGCGAGCAAATAGGTGCATTTTAAAATAGAGAGACTTCATGAACTTATTTTGTTAAAAATATCTACAGTATCTAGAACGCATAATATCTACAGTATCTACAAAAAATAAATATAAGATTTTATATACACTTGATTATATACACTAAGATTTTATATACATGACTTACTTTGTCAAAAAATTCATGTTCTTCATATGAACCATACTTTGCAACAGGAGCAATGGATGGGTCATGCACTATAGAGTAAGTTCCAGGCTGAAATTAAATGTCACATTATTATCCCACATTTTAGTTCATAATATGGCTACCTTTTGCATCTGCTCATTGCATCTGATGTTTTGTAATCCACATAATTCTTTAGTTTACATTTAATAAAAAAAATAGCATCCAGGCTAAAAAATAATAAGCTGCAACTGTTTAAAGCAAAAATAAAATCCATTGACACTTAATTTACCTTCAAATATAATATTTGGTGATCACCATTTACTGTGTGATCATTCAGGTGAAAATTGAGCAATCATAGCATATCATTAGTAAATTCATCTTTATTCAGAGAGCCTACATTTTTATTCATAGATAGAAAAATTTACATACTGTCTCAAAAATATAATATATGATAGCTGCACATCTGCATACAAAAATTTGAAGAAAAAGTAAATATGAAATTTTCGGAAATGTAGAATGATTAAAAACATTATTGTGGGGGTATTTTTAGTGACAAACACTGCTAGGAACAAAAATTACACAAAATTAAACTTTATCTAGTTTTTTTGAGAAAGAAAATTGCAAAAAGAAAAAGAAACAATATAGAAAACTGGATAATCTTATAAACCAAAAATTTATTGAATAATGACATATGATAATGAAAAATGTGAGCAAATACTCCAAAAACTGTTCCTACCTTAATTTCTTTTACATGTCAGGCTTTATATTTCATTAAAAAGAAACTTAGTCATTAAAATACAACAAAACTTAAGCAAAAGACAATAAAATTTTAAAAACAGGTTTGTATAATCATATTATAAACTTTTCACTCACATAATCAGAAGACTCATATGAAGACATAATTATTTCACTGCTAAATGCTGTTGCATCTGGTGTTACTACACAATCCTGAAAGACATGAAATAGTATATATATCATACAAAGTTCTATGCAAATAAAAATACTTCTATTCAAAAGTTAAATTTAAACATTTTTAATTTTATGGTACAAATGTTTAATATAATTGCATTTTAAGGATACTTTTATCCATTTCTTAAGATCTTTTTTATCCACCTGTATCATCATTGCATTTACTAATTTAACTATACATGAATATGCCTGAAAAAAAAAAAAAAAATTAAAAAAAATCTTAAATGTTTCAGATTTAAATTACGTCCAAAGGGCGTTTTTTACATTTTGTGTGTTACCTTTCTTATTAAATATCATGTTCCTCGCACTTAAACCATAAGATCCAGTGCAACAGCAATATCGCAAAATAGTTTTAAAATGAGCATATCTTTAGAATTTCCGATCCGAGACGCACGCCTGGATAAAATGTTTTTTTTGCACAACGTTCCATTGCTGCTTTTGTTGAGTGGTTAATCAAAAATCAACCAAAGTTTTAAAAATAGGAAATCTATCATAAAACAAATTCAAATTTCAAATTTGGTCTTCCACATGCTCATATTCGTTGGAGGATTACGGTTATTCAAATTCGATCTTGTACCGTTATTTTTATGACAATGTGAGAAATATAAATGCAGATTTTCATTTTTTTCTTCAAATATATGCGGACTCTAACATTTTATGGCAACAAAAAGTGAAACGACCATTATCCTCCGACGCAAAATGCCAAAAAACTAATACCTTCGTTCAAATTTGACTAACCCTTTTCGTCCTTTTTATTTGAATTTTCATGGCCTTGAAAAACAAACTTAATTGCAAAATGTGGAGCACCCTATAGCAAAATTATGGGAAATTTGTAGACTTAGCACTTGAAGGCAAAGTGTAAAACTTTGAAAATTTAAAATGAATGGAAACATTGATGTGAATATGATAACAACCAATGCAAATTCAAATACTTAAATAGAGATGAAAACAAAGAGCTCATGAAAAAATAATTATTTACAAATCCATAAGATAGAGTAAAAGAATCAATAAAAATTAGACTTAATGCATTGAATTTTTTTTTAAAGTGCAATAACTGTAAATTTATTTGACTAGAATGCTTCATAAATCAATAACGTGATGACTGCAGAGCAATTGTACAATGCACTCACAGAAAATTTTAGCACTTAAACCTCATTACTTAGAAAATTGAATTCTCAATTCTTTAATACTCAATACCTGAAATTATCTCAGCTATTACAAAGCTTTATACATGCTAGATCCTTCTAAAAAATCAAAGGAAGGTTTTCAGTATTATAAAATAACACAGCAAGGTGCATTGGCTTCCAATTAACTACAAAAAAAGTCCTCACAGTTCAACAAAATAACTTTTCACTTTAAGCATTAACCACTTCATCGTTTTCCTTGAAACAGACTTGTTGATTTGAAAAGTGTTGTCAGAAGTTTTGAACTAGCTTATACAAAATGTAAATTGTACATATTTTTACACAACTGCTTCGGCATTTAAGATGGGCATTGGCCTTTTGATATTATTTAAATTATTAAAAACATTTAAATCTACTGATGACATTTTTCAAGCGATGAGTCAGTCTCGGAGGAAATGGTGAAGTGGTTTATTAAGTATGTAGCAATAACATTAGCTCTCCACTTTATGCAGTTATTATTACTAAAATTACTGCCTATATATTAAAAAACATATAATATATCAACTAATAAAAATTATTTGATTTAAGGTTATTAAATACTTGATGATTAGTCTATAATTTTAAAAGTTTTGAAATACTTAATGAAGAGGACACATTTAATGCAACAATAAATATCATAATTTAAGAGAAAAACACAGAGGTGTATCACATCTCAATCTGTTCCAAGACAGTAAATATTCATTGTATGGTGTTCTCCCTAGTTCATTTTGGGAACAATTTTTACAGCTATCAAGCTCAAATGAAAATCCTAAAATACTGTAAGCAAATTTTACAATACATTAAAAACACAAATGATGCTTAAAATGCTGGGATATTCTAAAAAATATTTACGAACACTGCATATGTACACACTTCCAAAACTTTTTAATCAAGTTTAGTCTGACTTTTCAATCTTTTTCACAGAATGTAGAAATTTAAATTGTCTTTGCCAGTCTTCTCCATCTGCCTTTGGCTTCTGGATGATCCAAGTTTAAAAAAAAATTATTTAAGCGAGTTTCTTCCTTTTTAAATTGTTTTATGATGATCCTGGAATAGAACATGGCATTGTCACTGAACAGATCTGCCACTCTGATCACCTCAGTTTAGCTGAGATGTCACCGCTTTGCTGTGGCTTGGATCTCTTCCCATTATTTCAAAAGATATGACACAGTTCAAATGTAATTTGAGAAATTTAAGCACTGAAATTTCAGCCTTGAATGCGATGTCCACTGTAACAAGTATAATAACCATCCTCTGTAAACAAGGACCTACCAAAAGAAGCTATTGCTGAAAATTCATGTAATACAGGAGTTATAAGAGAGATCAAATATTCCAAAAATACAGCACACTGTCATTTGAAGGAGACTGGGGATGTAAAATGCTAATACAAGGTACACCATACTTTAATAAAGCAGAATATGCTTGTTTGAAGTTTTGGTATGTGATGATTCTTTGTTGGGGAAGAAGCTGCTTTTTTGAAACAGCTCGTTTTTGGAGACAAAGCATAGCTACTGTAAAGTAATGTTACAAGAAAATGATCATGGGTAAGTCAAATGGTTCTCCTTTACTAAGATCAAGATGGCAGCTACATCCCAAAAGAGTAATACTCTTTGTATGGTGGACCTGAAATTGTATGCTATGATTTGTTCCACCAAAGTCAGATAATAAATTCAGAAAAATACTGTTCCCAAATGGCAGTTTTAAATGCAGAATTGACCAATCATCGAAGTATTGACTTCCATCATGACAATGCTTGGCCTCATATTTTGATGAATGGCTGGGATGTTTGTGTTAACCCCATATTCATTAGATCTTGCCCCAATGGAATTTCATCTCTTCAGATCATTTCAAAATTATCTCTCCATTGGAGCTGGAGTTTATTTCTTTGGAGACTGGCAGAGCCCACCTAAGTAATTTTTTTAGGAATAAATCTAATGACCTTTTTAAAATGATTTTTCTAGCTGCTGGCAACAGCAAATTAAAATGATGCTTAGGTAATTCAATAAAAATTCCTTAACTTTTATACTCCTTCATTTGTATGTATCATTAAAAAAAAAAAAAAAAAAAACTCAGGACTTTCTGAATAATCAGATGCAATAGCAAAGAAAGTGAACTAATGCTGGAACTATCACAGCATATCTTAATTACTGCTTTAATTAAAGCAGTGATTAATTAGAAAAATAAAAGAATTAATAATCACACATAAATATTCTTTCATTTAACAATAAAAATGACAAATTAAAGTTACATGAAAATCCCTTTTAAGGGAACACTTTAAATTTTAAGGGAATTAAGGGAAATGTAACATCATTGACTGATATGGGTTATATAATCAGAACACATAAACTTTTAACTGATGAAGACTTTAATTATGAATATTTTTCCACAAATTACCCAACTGCTGCACTTTTGATTAATATAAGAAATATGAAAAACTGTAAAATGATATAAAAAATCTATAAATGAAATCAAAAACACGTACAATGCAATCTTTCCTAACTGAGTCTAATAGTTGCAGAAATTTTTCAAACACATCAGGTACATTTAAAAAACGTTCCTTCAAGTAAAATTAAGAAATTACTGATTATGTAAGGTACATATAACAATAACTATTTAATATACAAAAACACACTTATATAAATCACACAGCTAAAACTTACAAAGTATAAGAAAATCAATTTGGGAAATATAAAAATAATTACTATAATGTTTTTATATACTAGTATTCATTTACTGAAAAATAAAAAAAAAGGAAAAAAAAAAACCTCTTAAAATGTTAAAACACTTATTACAAAGCTAAATATTATATATATATATATATAGGCTAAAAATTCGAATAACATTTTTTTAAACCTATCCTAAGCTTTAGCTATTATACACGGTTGCAATTATTATAAGAGGAATTGCCTAGCTTTTATTCCAATTTTCTAATTAATTTAGATACTTTAAGTTTATGTATATATAAAATTGGAAGATCTTTTTAATATTTTACTTTGCATTTTTGCCATTTTCCTTCACTTTCACTGGTGTTTGATGAGATGTTCCAGCAAAGTTTTGTGTTGAGATTATTTTGAAATTTCTTTTTTTTTCAATGTAGAATTTTAAAATTTTCTACATTTTAAGGGTAAGTTTTCATTTTTATTTAAGATTCTTTTTAGATTAGAAAAATCTTCTTAAACTGGAAGATATTTTTTATGTTTTTACTTTGTATTTTTGCCATTTTCCTTTGCTTTGGGTAGGGGCCAAAATTTTCAGGTGAACTATTATAATTTAAATATATTGGAATCATCAGCTAATTCTGGATACAGAAAAAGCACGAATTTTTTTATGGAAGAGAGATTTTAATTGGTTTCAATGTTTCCTCCTGATGACATGGCATTGAAATTTATTTGAATTCCTCTTCTTTCCTTTTTTTTTTTTTTTTTTTTTTTCATTAAATTTTGAATTTGGGTTTTACTTGTTTGCAGAATTTTAGTTTTAACATTTGCTAAATTCTTCTTTTGTACATTTATACAATTTTTTGAAATTTACTGCTTGTGAATTTCAATTTTTGGTCTTTGCGAAAAATTGGTTCTAAATTTCTTTTTTTTTACATATTTACTGATCAATTTTCAGTGGCATAATGCACAGAAATTCTTGGAAGGATTATAAATTTTCCTTTAAAAAATTATTTGTATTTCCATCTATATTATGTAAGAAAAATAAAGAGTATATGAAAGATAAATTATAATTGAATTTCTCTTCTCTCTTTTAAAATCTAGTAATTCTTCTTTGCACAGTATCATTTCGAGACTAATTCCTGTCACATGACTCTTACATAATTCTGATGATGTAAATGGAACTAAAACTCAAACAGCCAATAATAATTTTACAGCGGTATTAATTTTTCATTCAAAATGCATAGAGTACCAAAACTAAGTCTGAATTAAGATTTCATCTTGAATATAATGCACTTTACTTTCTACTAACTAGACTGCCGTCTTACTGCAAATCTATCAAAAATGTAAACTATATATTTTAAATCTGATTCTTTAGCTTCCATCTCAAAAACTAAAAATGCACCACAGACTGAAATCTGAAATCGTTGTAATATGAAATAAGTGAATTAAGAGTGTTGATAAATCTAACACTGTTACCTGGCATATCCAATCTAAATGGCAAATATTCAGCAACAGTTACAATTACTCAGCAAAATTAGTATGAAAAAAAGAAACAAAAAAATTTCCCAACTTTTGTCCCTTCTATATTTCAAGGCTTTCACTGAATTTTTATTGCTTTAAAATTACCATGACAAAATACATTTTAATTAAAAACAATCAAACTATTTTTTTCGTACCAAATATATTAATTTTACAAAATAACATAATGCTTCAAAGTTTCTTCACTGAGTATTTATACATTCTTGTTACTTTCAGAATTAGTAAAATTATGGTGCAAAAAATATAAATGTGCAACATGTTTTGGCAAAATTCTGCTGTGCTTCTTTTCATAAAGTACATTCATTCTTCAAAACAGTCTTTCACTAAACATACTAACTAGCTGATGAGTAACCATTTTAGATATATCAGAAGATAACTGTTTTAGACATAGCAGAACTAATACTGTTTCAACTGTCTTCTTTTTCCACCAGAAAAATAGTGATGTTTATGTTTCTATAACTGCTTTAGAAAGGTATTAACACCAAAAACAAGATAATAACTACAGAATTTTTAACAACAGAATAAAAATTAATTGGTCATCTGGTTGTATATCCTACATATTTGAAGTGCAGATTACTTAAGTGCAAAAGACGTTAAAAAATGATGGAGTTTATTAACGTAATTAGAAGTTTAAGGATTTTGGACTTTAATTCCATTAATAACGATCTTTGATTTTCTTTGAGAGCATTCTGATTCCAGTTTTTTATTTATTTATTTATTTATAAGAGAGAAATATGTTTAGTCATTCATCTCATTGTAATCTTGGTCTTTATTGAAAATATAGTAAATTTTGTATCCAAAAACATAGCAAACCCTTTGTACCATCCCCAGTACCAAGTGATTTTGATCTTTTGTGAAGCAATTATCTTGGAGAGGCAATGTCCAGAATAAATGATTATTCACATAATTAGAAATATTGATCTCTTTATTAGATGGCCACTACAAGATAGTTTTCTGTAACTGCTACTAAAAATTTTTCATTTTACTCATTTAATGAAAAATGTTGTTATATGTTTCCCTTCAATAAACCTTTTGCGGTTTCAACAACACATAATTCACAATGTTTTGAATTGGTTTTGAGGATCAATTTGAAGTTACTGGAATAACTTCTAAAATTACTGATTTTGGTGATCTTACTCCATTAATAGTTTCTTTAAAAGATCCAAGACAATGTAAACAATTTCCAACTAGTAGCCAATGATATTCTGAAAAACTTAGAATTTTATTACACTCAGTATGCACTTACTGAATATGTCATCTGTATGACAATATAGATAACACATTCACTATGCTGTAAAAATGTTGTTCATGAATCTCAACATCATTTTAAACAATCTTTATATTTAAAATATAAATATTTAGAATAAAATAGACAAATCAACTACATTATGGGTAAAAATCTGAGTTTTCAATGAATTTCACCAAGTAAAGATTTTTTTACAAAATTAAAACTATATCATAACAAACTAATTATTTATCTATATACAGTTGATGCTTGCCTTAAGGATCAGTCATTATAATGAATATTCCATTACAGTGAAAAATATAAAATGTTCCCAAACGATAAGACTATAATAAATGAGGGTATGCATTCTATCAAAATACTCATAGTTAAAAACCAGCATGGTAAAAACCAATTTCTGCCATAAGAGGCAATAACTGGCAAAAATTCAAATATTGTAAGTAGCCGAAGGATTTTTTTTTAAACAGAACAAGTTCAAGTAGAATGTTTACAACACTTATTAAAAGTCGTTAAAAGTTGCATATCACCATTAAAATTCAATCTGACTTTTTCCATGAAGTAGTCCTATAGCATAAGGCCAATTTAACTGCAATTTTAAAGTCTAAAGAATTTCTCAATTTACTGTGAATAAAAAACTGGAGAATATTCTTCTAAATGAATGAAAAGCTGCTGAAATTCTTTCAACTAGCTTTACTTGTAAGCAATATCATCATTACACAAATAAGAGTCATAAAATCTTCACTTACAATTATTTTCTTAAAACTAGACCACCATACAAAAGCAGAAACATTTTGCAACACTTCATTAGACAAATATGTATTAGGAAAATGAGCTGATTTTGCTTCAACATGCATGATGTAAAGCTATTATATTTTATGACCATGAAGTAATGTCCTTGCACTTTCTTCCAGCTTAATAGAAAATTCAGAAGCCATATAATTTAGGTAATGCATAAAAGCTAGCATATGATATCAATTATTTCTAACCGATTAACATTTATTCTGTTTCTTATAAGTTTTCATAAGATTAATATCAGCAGTAAGTGCCAACCATATGCAACAGAACTATTATCTTTTTGGATTTTATCCAGTGCCCCAATTATATGTTTTAAGAAAATTCTAAAAAGCATTACTTCTTTAATGCTAATAATAATATTAATCAGAACATGCTGTATATGTGCATTTGAAGTATAGGCCAATGAACATGATACAGATAAAAAAGAAGTTCATACTTTTTTCATTTACAAGCATCAGTTATAGTTATACAGTTAATAATATATAAGCATTAATTATACCATCATAGCAAGCATCAATTATATGGTTAAAAGTTAAATACCTCCTTTTGAATCCCTTTTCTAGAATGTTTTACTTTTTTCATTTACTTCTATTGCTGCAGTTCAGAAAAATTCAGTAACTTCCACTATATGTTTTGTGAAAATACTGCTCAACATTGAAATTATTCAAGTAACATTGAATTTTGAATAACATTGGAATTATAATTTCAACCTTATTTTACGCAGAATTTAACTAAATAAATAGTCTAAGTAAATAAATAGCTATTTCATGTTTGATAAACAGATAACTGCATATCTGGTTTAGAACCAAACCAAATATTCAGTATGCAACATCTGGCCAATCTGATATCAGTTGCATCCCTAAGGCTGCTATCACATATCCGTTTGTTTCTAAAGAACAACTGTTTGGAACAATTTTTCTGCTTTGTCACAAGGGCCAATCACCACAGATTGCTTTGCAGTTAACACAGAGGAAACTGACTCTCCATTACAAACAAGCTGATAGCATTCAAAGTTGATAGCTAATTGGTTGAAAACGAAAAACTCGCAATTCTTTTCGAAAGGATGGAAAAAATCGCACACCTTTCCTTCAATAGTAAACCAGGCAGAAAGACTGTCCGAAACAGTTGTTTGTGTGAAACAAATGTGTGTGTGATATGGGCTTTACATGAATCCATAAAAAAATTTTTAAAAAAAATTCACAATAAGAAGTATTTATTCATTATAAACATGACAGTTCACCATTTTATAGACAGATAGGTTTTAAATCAAGTATCAATCACTACAGTTTTTTACTCTCATTTTTTTTCCTGCAGAAACTTCATATACAATAGAAATTTACTACATTTTACATTATTATAATAAAACAAGCAAGAAAATGCTAATATATAAGCAAAAAATTATACCATTAACAATTTGCATCTTTTTCATTATAAATGTATTACATTATTCCTCGTGAATTTATTTTCCTGTATAACAGTGAAATCTGCATATTTCGCTTGCTTTCTGACCTAAGAATTTGGCCACCATCTTTTAACATTGTTGTGTTTCCCGATGGTAAATAACAATTCGCCCTTTCTTCTTTTACTCAAACTTTCAAGATAAGAATGATTTCCAATTTGATATGATTCATTCATTTATACACTATAAGGAAAAAATTAATCTTAAAGACCTTTTGTTAAAGAAAACTTTACCATTCTGATATATTTATACAACAAAAGGGGTGAAGAGAAAAAAAAAAAAAAACTGAGTCACAGTTTCTGTTCATGATTTCTTTATGTAATTATCTCATCCTCTATATATCGAAGCACTTATGTTTTCTGTAATTTGCTTACAGTTATTTACAGAATGATTTGTCTTCAGCTACTATACCACTGATTCAATGACTATTTAAAAATTTTAAATATAGGTCTCCATTTTCTAACATCTGCAACATGTCCTGGTAATTTTCTCTTATTTTGAGGCTTTTCTGACAGAGATACTAAATCATGGCCCTGTCAGCCACTCTCTTCTTTGAAACTTCATTAACTTTCCACGTTAAAAAAACAGAGAAGCAAACAAGTTGACTTTATATAATTATAGTGCGTCACAAGACTCCAACATAACATTCTACAATATTTCAACTATCTAGCACCACTTCTTTCCCATGTGAAGCTCAAAACTTTTCAACTTTCTACTGTGGGGGATACTAAAGGAACTTGTTTTTGTTACTCGCCAACCGCGTGCCTGAATCTCAGATATTAATTGTCACATTCCGCACACCGCGACACTAAAATACAGTAGCTAAACATTAACAGCAAAGCTTAAAATAAATAAATAGATGCTGAAATCGTCAGTATACATAATTAATAAGAAATATTTTTAAACGCATATCAATTTTTAAATTACTAATTGTATTAAAAATTTAGGATTTAGCATTTAAGGCCCATTATTGTTGTACTTTATGCAAATACTTTGTGTTTATTTATTTGAAATTTAAGGTACTATATTGGCTTTTATTTATTCTGACAGGTGTTGAAATGATCATACACAGATAAGCCAAAATTGAAGGGAACACAAATAAATACAAGTAATCAAAATTTCAAGGTACATTATATCTAAAAACACATGAACATCTTCAAATATTTCAAAAAGAAGGTTAAAAATTATTGTATAGCTATAATCATGAAAAGTATTGTGTTGAAACAATGAAATCTGAGAAATATACCACCATAAATTTCAAAAATTAAAAAAAAGGAGGGTTGGTGTTCTGAGAAAGTGATAGTGATATGAAATCATACAGCTCTTTTGCAGAAATAGATAAAATTATGTCCATTAAGTAATAACCTAATAATAAAAGTAATAATGAAATTTATAATTCTTTCATTTATTCATTTCTTTTTCCTCTCCTTTTTTGTTTCCTTTCGTTGTCTTTCAATAGAAGAACTATTATATGAATATATTAACAAAAACAAAATAACCAAAACAATATTTTAAAAGACATTATTTTCATTTATTTAAAAAAATATAAGAAGCATTTTCAAACAAAGAAAAAAAATGCAAAATGATAAACAGTTGATTAATTTAACAGCTCGACTCAGTTCCACATAGAAATACAGATTACAATTCGGATAAAAATTTAAATTTCCATAAAAAATACATTGTTAAATAATCATGAAAGCAAAAATATGACTTTTTGTTGATATGCAAATTACTTCTATATGTTTGAGAATTCTACGAACTTCCTACCTTCAAGCTTCAATTCTACAAGGTTTGAAGCATTATACTTTTATGTTTTGGGAACAATAATTGATTTAATTTATTAAGAAATTAAAAACAGTGGAAAATTTCAATGACTATTAAAATAAATTATTTTATTGATTTCTTTATTTACAGAAATCTGACTTACCAAGAAACAATACCATTACCTATATTATCAGTGGAAAACATTCAATTCAACTTATCAAAAATTTTGAATTACAGAAATTTTACCATAGACTCTTTTTTTACGAAAAATGTTACGGAAAAAGAAATGCATTGGTTAAAACCAGATTTTAAAAAAATGAATAATATATATACTTTGAAAAACTTATATTTATATATTCAATTATATAGACATGAATATAAACAAATCAAATAACATTATACCTTAATAAGGTAAGTTTAATACTTACCTTTACTTTACTTAGAAATAAGATAGCATAATCATCATCAACTTCTTTTGTAGCATAGATTTCTTTTTCTTCTAAGAGTGATTCATTTAAATAATCCATACTATCATCTAAACCTTCACCATTTATCACAGGACTTACCTATACAATTAAAAAAATAAAGTACTATCTTAACCAAAACTTTCATGTCATTACAGTTTTTAAAACTTTCCATAATCATGGACTTACTTCACCAAATGAATAATAATTCTGAAATTTTTCTCCATTTGCCTGCATAAAACTATTAGAATCACTGGTTTGATTTTTCATAGCTTTAATAAGAAAACTGCCACTTGTTTGCAACTGCAGATTGAGACTTGGTGGCAGAAACATTCCAAAACCCTGAAGTAATTCTGGATGTCCTTGCAAAAGGCAACAAATTCTTGATATAGTATTTATGGCATCACAACTGAAAATAGAAAAAAGCATGGAAATATGCAACATAATAAATGTCATAAAATATGAAAATGCATAAAAATATGAAAATTTCTCACAAACATCTAAAATCGGAAGTAATTTTCTTCCAAACTGCAACGTATTTCTCTGTAAAATATACACATCACACTACAAAAAATATTACAGATCTCACGAAGATTAGTTAAAAAAATCCCTATAACAAAGACACAAAAATAAAATAAAATTTCTATTGACACATCTAGTGCTATATTAGTCTGAAACCTCACTTTTTTGTTCATATTTCTTCAAATGTTGCCACCAAATGTTACCACTATGTATTTTTTAAAGAAATAATACAGATAATATAAAAAAAATAAATTGCAATATGAATAAAACGATGTTGCCATCAAATATTATCTCGATGCATTATTTTTAAAGAAATAATATCTGCAATTCCAGCGCTCTGATATGCCATCTAGTGGCTAAAAGGTGGAAACATAAAAAAAACGGTATATACAGGGGTTGGACAAAAATATGGAAACACCTCTAAAAAAACATGTTTCTTTGCTTAATATGGTGTAGGAAACCCGTTGGCATTTAAAACAGCTTGCAGTCTTCTCAGAATGGATAAATACAGTTCCTGAATGTTTGCCAAGGGAATATTATACCATTCTTCCTGCAAAACGGTGGCAAGTTCAGATAATGATATTGGCGGTGGATAACGAGAACGCACTTTCCGTTCCAATGTAGACCACAAAGGTTCGATAATATTCAGGTCTGGTGACTGTGGTGGCCAGGGGAGATGGGACAACTCATCCTCGTGCTCAGAAAAACCAGTCCTGGACAATGTGAGCTGTGTGAACAGGGGGCTTGTCATCTTGAAAGACACCATCACCATCGGGGAACAAAGTTTGTACCATGGGATGAACTTGATCGGCCCAAATGTTCACATAAGTCTTGGCAGTCATGTGCCCTGACACAGTTATCATGGGGCTAGCAGAGAGAACCATGATATGGCTGCCCCCAAACCATAACAGAACCCCCGCCATGTTTCACTCTTGGCAATAAGCAGTCTCGTATTATAGGCTTGAGATGGCGGTTCTCCAGACGTAAACTCGGCCAGAAGTGGGAAACAATGTGAAAGAAGACTCGTCAGACCATATTACTCGCTTCCACTGCTCCATAGTCCAGGCTTTATGACTTAAACACCACCTTTTCCTGTTACGGGCATTAGCATCATTGATGAGTGGCTTCTCAATTGCAGCACGGCCAGCAATTCCCTGTTTATGAAGCTTCCTTCTAATTGTTTTGGTACTCACAGGGTTCGGTAACACAACATTCATTTCAGCAGTAACTTTTGCAGCTGTGGTCTTCTTATATTTCGTCACAATTGCCCTTAATGTTCGTCTGTCATGATCACTCAGGACACACTTTCGTCCGTGCTGTGATTTAGCAGATGATGTTTTTCCGCTTTTCAAATATGCGGAATAAATCTTCGATACAGTACCTCTTGAAACACTAAACACCTCTGCTATCTTGCTTACGGAAGCACCTACCATACGTGCTCCAACAATTTGCCCACGTTCGAAGTCTGTTAACTCTGACATAATGCAATGACAACCTCACATAATAGTACTCCAACAACAACTGAACTGTTTAGCACATTTACGAAGTTGTATAGGTGGCGTCAGTAGTCAAAAATGCCAGCGCCACCTACATATTTCATTAAAATCAATCTTTCTTTTCAAACATGCATTTCACAAGGTGTTTCCATATTTTTGTCCATCCACTGTACATTAACAATACTATGTAGCTTGTGAAAAGTGTTGTGATTGAAAAGTAAACATTTATTTCTGATTGTTGTGAGCATTATGTATAACTTAGAAAGAAGTATAGACCACACGTTTTGTTGTGTACCCCAGTGTAATTCACGAGCTTGCAAGGGGCCTGAGTTATGCTTCCATCACATTCTTGGTTCGAAAAATATTGAACAAAATAGCAAAACGAAGAAAAGAGTGGATTTGCATATTTCGAATTGGAAAGAAAATTGGACATTATATGAAAGTGCGTTCTAAACATTTTAAAAAAAAAAAAAAAAAAAAAAAAAAACTGATTACATTTTTTTTTCATCAGAAAAGTTTTCTTTATATGTGCAAAATTTCTTTCTCGTATATTATGTATACATAAATGGTGTGTGTTCTTCAAAAGTAAACATGCATATTTGAATACTGAAGTATAAATCATTATAGCTCATTGATCTCTTAAATATTATTAATAAACATACATATACAATTAGGTTTTCGTACATATTTTACCTGAAGAAATTTAAATTCTGTTTCAGTTAATGTTAGCAATGATTTAAATGAAAATTTATAGCATGACACATATAAAAATAAGAGTTAATTATTTTAACGTTAATGATGAACTTTGAATTTTCATATTCTAGTAATGTTGAAATTTCTGTGTGTGAGTCATTTCCTCTTAAACTATTTAGAAGCCATTTACAGTGGTTCAGGATAGTTAGCATAAAAAATTTCCAAGTTCAGAAAATAGCTATGATGATCTAGTATGAGTAATAGTATAAAAAGTATTACAGATATCAAATCTTTTCCACTATAGAATAGCATGCATGCACCAAACAATTTCTTATAAAATGATATACATACCACTGTTACTCGCTGAGCACAGTTAAACATTTTTTCTTATCTTTTATAGCAGTGTTCGTTTTGAAGTAAGTATTAGTAATAAAAAGTTTTAAAAGTAGTTTAGAAAAATTTTTCCATGGTGAAAATTAGCTAATGATGAAAGTATTTTTTCTCACTGGAAGTATCAAACGGGCACATGTATCTTTTTTGCGAAAATTTTTTGGCTTATGTTGTTCTGTAATGTAAAACACCCAAGTATTTGTTCAGTGATAAATATTGATAGGGGAGAGACTTTTAAGGTAATTTCATTTCTCAGCCATTATTCAAAATATGATTGCATATAACTAAATAACTTTGGAGTAAATGAAACAGCGTGCACAGACATGTGTATACAGATATACAGGTTAGCAAATAAAGGCAAGGACAGTGATTTGGATCAGATCAGTAATTTATTAGATTGCTTATGCATTCCTATTTTATTTATAACAAGCTTTTATTTAGAAGCATAAGAACATTTAGTATAATAAGAATAATACATGAATACACAGCCTTTTAGTTGCAAGAAATAAGATTTTGCATAGTTATTTAAAGATGCAACCATATTTATATTCTCAAACATATTCTGTGTTAGTTGTATACCTAGGGCAAATATGCATTAATTCTCTTACCTATTATTATGTCATTATAAAAATTTCATTTTATCGCGTTGCTTATATAGATTCTATGCAGTGTTGATACCTGTGAATATAAGCCTCATAAAAAATATATGCATATTGGAGGCCTCATCAGTGCTTTTAAGAAAATTTAGCGATTTTTTTTTTAACTCGTGGCTAAAAATTGTTTATTAGACATTATTCTACAAATATTTGCTGCTTTTTTGCGAAACAAAAACCTCTTCACTGTCAACACTGGCACAATCAGAAAATTTTCATTGCCAGTATGTAATTTTTTGCATACAGGACTTTTACTAAGAAAATTATAATACATATAAAAAATGCTAAGAATAATAAAACCTTTAACAACACCAGATATATTTGATACACCAGATATACCTATTGATTTGATATTATCTGATAAACATTCTAAATGAATGAATAAATTTGTCATTAAAATATTTCGGATGAGCAAAAATACATTAAGTCTATTAAATGAAGAGGCTAGATGAAATATTCAAATCGTCTAGCTTCTACATTTAGTGTGACAGTAAAAAGTCTGAAAATAATATTAATTCTTTGGTAAAAATATCTTTATTTATACCAAGTGTTGCAAATCAATTTTAAGTTATTTCTCAAAATGATATATAAAAACTGTCCCCCTCTAGCTACATCCCTGAAAGTAAGCATTAATTTAAATATTAAACAAATAGATTTGATCATATTTTATGCATCATGCAGACTATATTTCCAGCTCTTTCATTTAAGAGCAATTTTTTTCAAATGTATGAACATGAAATATCTTCTAAAAAACTGTACAAGCTTAGTCACTTATTCACAATTTAATTCAGTTTTCATTATAAGAATTAAAATTTGCCAGACAATTGCTTTCTTAACTTCTATTGAACTTAAAATAGTTTAATAGATGTTACTGTAATTTAACACGTTTGATTTTAATGTTTTCAGAAATTTGCTAAATCAAGTTTATCTTTGTGTGACCTTGCATCAAAGGCACCAATAATAAATTTGTTTTAGCATTCGATATTAAAATTTTTAAAGAAAAACTTATTAATGATGTAAAAGAAGGAACAAATTGTATTTAATCTTGGTAATATGTCTTAAGATATTGTCTTAAGTTATAGTGTCTTATGATATGGTTTTTTATGGTGTTAGTGATGTATGATATGGTTATTTATGGTGTCTCATGATATTGCAGTAACTTAAAGGGTTATTTCATATAACTTGTTGTTTCTTATGCTGCATAGCCTGTTTTCATAACTTTTTGTCATCTTTATATTTTACTCTTCTGTGTGATCAAATATACAAGGTGTGGCTATTAATTTCCAGGACTGCTCTAATAACATCAGAATAGATGATGTGAGAAACGTAACCTTTTAATATGTTTCCAAGTAATCCCCATCTGCTGTAATACACTTCTGTGCTTGGCTATACAACTTTTAAAGTCCTCTTTCGGAAGGCTCTTCAATGTCAACGTCACGTTCTTCTTGATGTCTTCAACATCCACAAAGTGTGTTCCTTTGATCACAGTTTTGAGTTTGGGAAACAAAATGAAGTCTGCGGGGGACAAGTCAGGAGAGTATGGCGGATGGTGCAGCTTCACGACCTCATTCTTGGCCAAAAACCTCTTCACTGGCAACGCAATGTGGGGCAGGCATTGTCATGCAACGTGACGTCGATATTGAACAACCTTCTGA